ATTATATAAATAATGGTATGTAAAGAAAGCCCCTTTTGTCCTGAAAAAACAATATATAATTTGTATGGGAACAGTAAATGAAAGAGCGGAAAATTACAGCCAAACACAAACACCACAAAAGTGTAAAAATATTCACAGTGCATGGAAATGTTACAACTTGCTCCCTTTAAAAACAGTCCAGTCCTTAAGGGTTTAAAATTAATAAAAGCCCTTTAAAAAAAAATAAAAATTGCTCTTTCATTTGTTAAGTAGAAAACTCCCTATTCCGGTATCCTTACCAAAACGGATGGATCAGAAATGACTTGTTTCAATTTGTTTCGAATTTGTCTCATTTCTCTTTATTTTGACATTTTGTATGCTTTCAAATTGAAAAATTCTGACAAAATTTGATTAAAATCAAAACAAGTTGCACATTTCTATAAATCTGGCCAACTGTGTGTGTGAGGGGAGAGGGGGGATAATAGCACTTTCTAGTGCAGGGGTAGGCAACCTTTGAACTACATCTCCCCTGAGTCTTTGCCAGCATTATAGGTGCAAGAGCATTATGGGTCATGAAGTCCACAACATGTGAAGTGCTGAAGGTTGCCTACACCGGCTTTAGAGATTGTGTGATGTTGTTTATTTCCACCTATTTCTCCCCTTTGCTTTTTCCACTTTTCATTTAGCTCCTGTCTTCCTCTCTCTGTTTCTTCTGTTGTGTCTGGTTTCAGCGACTCTTGTTTTTTTCCCCCTATTGATGTTTTGTTTATCTTGTGTGCTCTCAATGTTCAATTTATGTATTATCTTATATTAATATATTGTTCAATCAGGAACCTTTTTTCAAATTTTTCTTTTTTGTGACACAATTTGAAATTGGCCAAATTAGTTCCCCCCTCCCCCCCGCCCTTCTGGTCATAGAAACAGAGATAAGAAAAAGATTGAACTTGAGACGGAATGTTCCATTTGACCTTCGTACCTACAACTGTCCTAAAAACAGTCCGACATGTAATCCCGCCACTGGCAGACGGGGAAATCCTTGATCTTCGTCACTAAACCTGCCGTCTCACCGTGTTTGCTCTCTAGGTGTGGGTGTACATTGTTCTTAAAATAGAAAGTGTTGATAATTCCAGGAAATACTCTGCACGTCCCGTCCTCATTGATGCCAGGTGTGGGATGTCTTTTAGCATTGTAGTGAGAACACCGAAACCTTTGTATTGTCTAATTTGCATATATTTAAATATTCCAATCAGAGATGTTTACTGGAAACAGAAGGGCCACGGTACAAGATTGAATAAAGGGGTCCCTCCTTCACCGCCCCCCGCCTCCCCCACCACTCATTCTTGTCAGGAGAATCTAACAGGTTTAGGCACAGTGGGGTGGGAGGGTAGGTCAGTGCTGTGGGGAATATGATGGTGGATCAATGAGAGGGACATTGAGAATATGATGGGCGGGTGGGAGAAAGGCTTGGTAGAGAATATGATGTTGGGCTGTGTGGGATAGAGGAAAGGTCCTGTGGGTAATTTGATGGTGGGTGGGATAGAGGAAAGGTCCTGTGGGTAATTTGATGGTGGGTGGGATAGGGGAAAGGTCCTGTGGGTAATTTTATGGTGGGTGGGATAAAGGAAAGGTCCTGTGGGTAATTTGATGGTGGGTGGGATAGGGGAATGGTCCTGTGGGTAATTTGATGGTGGGTGGGATAGAGGAAAGGTCCTGTGGGTAATTTGATGGTGGGTGGGATAGAGGAAAGGTCCTGTGGGTAATTTGATGGTGGGTGGGATAGGGGAAAGGTCCTTTGGGTAATTTGATGGCGGGTGGGATAGAGGAAAGGTCCTGTGGGTAATTTGATGGTGGGTGGGATAGAGGAAAGGTCCTGTGGGTAATTTGATGGTGGAAGTGAGAAGGGTGAAAATTTGAATTTGATGATGGGTGGGATAGGGGAAAGGTCCTGTGGGTAATTTTATGGTGGGTGGGATAAAGGAAAGGTCCTGTGGGAATTTGATGGTGGGTGGGATGGGGGAATGGTCCTGTGGGTAAGGGTTTGATGGTGGGTGGGATGGGAAGAGTCCTGTGGGTAATTTGATGGTGGGTGGGATAGGAAGGTCCTGTAGGTAATTTGATGGGTGGGATAGAGGGAAAGGTCCTGTGGGGCCAATTTGATGGTGGGTGGGATAGAGGAAAGGTCCTGTAGGTAATTTGATGGGTGGGTGGGATAGGGAAGGTCCTGGTGGTGATGGCGGGTGGGATAGAGGAAAGGTCCTGTGGGTAATTTGATGGTGGGTGGGATAGAGGAAAGGTCCTGTGGGTAATTTGATGGTGGGTGGGATAGGGGAAAGGTCCTGTGGGTAATTTGATGGTGGGTGGGATAGAGGAAAGGCCCTGTGGGTAATTTGATGGTGGGTGGGATAGAGGAAAGGCCCTGTTGGTAATTTGATGGTGGGTGGGATAGAGGAGAGGTCCTGTGGGTAATTTGATGGCGGGTGGGATAGAGGAAAGGTCCTGTGGGTAATTTGATGGCGGGTGGGATAGAGGAAAGGTCCTGTGGGTAATTTGATGGTGGGTGGGATAGGGGAAAGGTCCTGTAGGTAATTTTATGGTGGGTGGGATAGAGGAAAGGTCCTGTGGGTTATTTTATGGTGGATGGGATAGAGGAAAGGTCCTGTGGGTAATTTGATGGTGGCTGGGATAGGGGAATGGTCCTGTGGGTAATTTTATGGTGGGTGGGATAGAGAAAAGGCCCTGTGGGTAATTTGATGGTGGGGGGGGAGGGAGGCACTGTGTGAAATACAAAAGTGTAGGACAGAAAGGGAAACCCCACTGTAGCACTGTGTAACCACAAAATCCTAAACCCCTCCTCCATCTTTCTTTCATAACCCTGCTTGACCTCCTTCTCTGTGTGTGTAACGGAAGCAGATGGGGTCAAAGCACATTGCAGCCAAGAGCAACTGCCCTGCAATTCTCACCTTCCTTTCCAACTTTGCAAGGGCCAGTGCCAGCCACCAGCCTGCCCAAGACAGGGGCTGTACAAGGATCCTACTGCCCGTGCCCACCAAGATTAGGGGCCAGCAATGATGTCACAGATGTGGCCAGTGCCACAGACAAGCCATCCAATGCCCACCAAGACCAAGGGACAGCTGGACAGACCCAGCCAACCATCACCCATTGAGCCCGGGGCCTGGTGCCAACAAAGACAACTGGATAGCCACTTAAACCTGCATAAGTCATCGAGTGTGTCTGCATGGATCAGTGTGAGTGTGTCTGCATGGGTCAGGGAGTGTGTCTTCATGGATCAGTGTGAGTGTGTCTGCAAGGGTTAGTGTGTGTCTGTATTGATCAGTGTGTGTGTCTGCATGGGTCAGTGTGAGAATGTCTGCATGGGTCAGTGGGAGTGTGTTTGTATTGATCAGTGTATGTCTGCATGGATCAGTGTGTGTGTCTGCTTTGGTCAGTGTGTGTTTCTGCATGGGTCAGTGAGTGTGTCTGCTTGGGCCAGAGAGTGTTTCTGCATGGGTCAGTGTGAGTGTGTCTGCAGGGGTCATTGTGAGTGTGTCTGCACTGGTCAATGTGAGTGTGTCTGCAAATGACAAGTCTTGTGGGTGTTCCCGGTATGCAGTGGTTAGTACCTACCAAAAGTAGTGCAAAGAAGGACAACTGGGGAACCAGCATCAGGTGTGCCCACCAAAGTATGTGGAGTGCAAAGGCTAGCCTGTCTGGTCCGGTCACACAGAAGAGCTACTGTAACTCAAATTGCTGAAAAACCTAATGATGGCCATAATAGAAAGGTGTTAGAACATACAGTGCATCGCAGCTTGCTGTGTATAGGACTGTGTAGCCGCAGACCGGTCAAAGTGTCTACGATGATCCCTGTCCACCACCAAAAGCACCTTCAATGGGAATGTGAGCATCAGAACTGGACCATGGAAATCACGTTTTCTTTTAGATCAGGTGGATGGTGAATGTGTGTGTTTACATGGAGAAGAGATGGCAGCAGGATGCACTATGGGGAGAAGGATAGTCGATGGAGGAAATGTTCTGAGAACATGGGAAATCTTTGATGTTACATTTACATGTAAAAACTACCTAGAGATTGTTGCAGACGATGCACACCCCTTCATGGTAATGGTGTTCCCTGATGACAGTGGCCTCTTTCAGCAGAATAATGCACACACTGCCACACTGCAAAAGTTGTTCAGGAATGGTTTGCAGAACATGACAAAGGTGTTCAATGTATTGCCTTGACCTCCAAATCCTGCAGATGGCAAACCGATTGGCCATCTGTGGGATGTGCTGGAACAACAAACCAGATCCATGGAGGTCCCACCTCGCAACTTGCAGGACTTAAAGGATCTACTGCTAATATCTTGGTGCCAGATACCACAGGACACATTCAGAGGTCATGTTGAGTCCATGCCTTGATGTATCAGAGCTGTTTTGGCAGCACGAGGGGACAACTACACTATTTAAGACAAGTGGTTTTAATGTTGTGGCTGATCATTGCATAAGCAGAATATATTTTATACACAAAAAATACTATAACACTCATGCATTAATATACACATAGAAATGGGCTGCGGGGACATGAGAGGTGTATTGAAGAAAATGGCCTTGGGCAGCAAGGGGGATAAACCCAGTCCTGAGTGTCTCTCTTCCTCCATTTGAAATTTTGTGAGGCATGCATTATAAAATGCTGAATAAAGAGGTGCTGCACCCTAATTCATCCATCAAGTCCGGAGCTCAGAGTGACTCAGAATTTAGGGGAAATGCTCCCTGCCAGATCTTTAATTCTAGCTGTCCAGTAAATTATAGAAGGCTTAGCGTTGCTCATGCATACAGCACTCAGAGAGTTAAACCTGTTTTACAAGCAGTAAGACCTCGCTGCCAGCAGTTTCTTCATACACGTTTTTTTTTTTTGTTTTGTTTCGTTTTCCTAACATGACTAAGAATTGAAGCCACATGCCACGTGACTGGGCTATCCCATGTACCGCTGCCAAGGAGCGTCCCTTCAGACTAATTTCAGATAGCAGCGGGAACATGACTGAGGACTGCGCTGCGGCAGGTAAATAAAATCCACATTCTAAAATAAAATCCTATTCTCTTACAGAACTCCACTCACTGGGAACGGTGCAAGTATGTAGACTGCAGCAATAATCTCACTTAATCTGAGATCCTGCTATTGTAGCTAAAGAATACTCACAATAACTAATGATCTGATATGTTTGGTAGATTTTAATCTAATTTAAATCTTTTATTTCATTAATGTCTATGTGCATTCCAACAAACCCTTGCCATTACTTTTAGCACGTCTCTATTTCAGCTTCCTGTTTTTATTACGTGGCGATGAAATGTAATTTCTAACTCTATTTATCGCGATTTCCAGCTAGTGCGCCTATAGCAATTAATTCTAGAAGTTTCTATTGGTGTGGGCCGACGTTATCGGGTAGATTGAGATAAGCACTTTACAGCTTCCTCCACAATGCGTATAGAACTTTGTCATGTACCCTGATGAATGGGGATGGGTGTTTATTGAGGTTTTTCTAAAAAGTGCCTGAAGTTATTTGTTTGATAATTGAAGTGACAGACACTGTAAGGGGAGATAGGAAGAGGCTTAATCAGTAAAATAAATTGTCTGGAATTCAAACTGAATTTTAACTTTAAAGTGACACTATAGTCAACATAACCACTGTAGCTTAATATAGTTGTTATGGTGTCTATAGCCTGTTCCTGCAGGCTTTTCAATATAAACGCTACCTTTTCAGAGAAATCTCCCTGCTTTTTTTTTAAAATTAAATGTTACTGAGGGAATGTCTACTAAACGGCTTTAACCCCTTTTATGCCTGTGGGTGCCGTTACATTAGGGAAAAAGGAATCTTTGGTTATTATACTACTGTGAATGTGAAAAAAATTATTGGAAAAACATTTTCCAAAAATGTGAAAATATATTAAATTTTTTTTTTTTTTACTAGGTACGATGCGTTCTGCAGATAAGAGTGAAAATGGTGGAGTGAATTTAAATTTTGTTGTGCCGTGCTCTCTGACTCCTTTACGTGAGTAAATTCCCTGATTTTCCTTTATTTTCTTAAATCCCTGGTAATATGTTGATTTCTCTCCAGACTACAGAGATACATATTTTTTCTACCATTGACTTCAATGTACAGAGGGAAGAAGTGTGTATTATAGTTATTAATGATATATTATTGTAGCAAACTGTGTCTCCAAAGAGCGCGAGCCTGAGCCGACATTTTGCAACTAGCAGGTGGCTTCACAACCGCAGATTCCGTGTCGACCAATGGGAGAAGCGCTACCATTCAAATTGGTTTTGCGCCCTTTCTCCCAATTTGCCGGCAAAACACCTCCCCTCCCTGAATGCTGATTGACCGCTACGTGTTCGTGCCCTTTTTCCGGATTGGCCGCTGCTTTCACCGGCCTAAACCGAGTGATCTTGTGGAACTGTTTGCACGATGATTTCTCGGGCTCTGTAGATACGATCACTCCGAAATTTGCAGGGAGCATAGCACGGACCAGGAGCTATCCAGGGATGTAGGGCATGTAGAGATGCATTACTGTGTTTTGTGTATTTTGTGGGTTTTTTGTGTGTCCGCTTCCTGTGCCTGGGAGACACCATTATCTCCAGACACAGGGACGCTGGGGAGGGCTTATGTTTTACATTGCTGTAGATGGAGACCCCCTGCAGGGGTCCGTGCATAAATACTGTGTATCTGACCTTCAATAAACAGATCCTGTTGTGCCCTTCATCAAGTCTCTGTCTGATGTTTGGGTAACCAAGAGCTCTAATCACTGCTTCGCTTGGGAAATGGGAGACTCACAATGGATATACTCAGTCAGAGTATAGGGGATCCATTACATCATATAATAATATTTGATAACATTATTGTACATATTATGGTACAATAGCACCATTCAATGCTCTGTATAATACTGATTACTATTTATAGCCGGGTATCTATATACAAAAACTCACAAACTGGGTATTCGAGAATTATATATATAATTATTTGGGGTTTCTTGCTCCCCTCTCACACTACGTACTTAAAGGCATATCTTTTTTTTGCAACAATGTGCGACTCAATGGTAGCTTAAAATTGTCATAGTTACTAAATTTAATATTTTATACTTTAAATCTGCCATTTTGACTTGAATTAAGGTTGCATAATGTTTTCTGAAAAAGAGAAAATAGGGTTAATGTGATAAGCAGACCCAGCCAATTGAGTGCACTGGGATATTTAAATAAGGTCAATTGTTATTTATTCTTTAGAATATCTTTCAAAGGGATTCCTCTGCTCTAGAGGCAGTCTTAGTCCTGCAATGTAATTATTGCACGTTCTCTAAAACGGCAATTATTGACATTGCAGGACTAAGGAGGACAGGGACACTGCACCTAGTCCCCTTCAATAAGCTGAATTGGTCTGGGTGCCTTAAGTGTCCCTTTAAAAAGTGCTGCATGATATGTTTGAACACTCCATCCATCATAATATTTACCGTGATAATAAAGTATTTTATGGTTTATGAAGTTAAAGTTCATTGTAAAAGGCTGCAATACGATCAGTTTATGGAGATTGGTGCTGTAGAATTTTATGTAAAGATACTGTTTCCATTTAATTCAAAGGAAAACTAATTTGCAAAGGTGTTGGGGGACCTGCCCCACCACACCCCATCCTGCAAACTTGTCTATTAATGTGCTCAGTCTTTGTCTGAATTTTGGAGATAAAACCTACTGAAATTGTATATTTGCTTTCCAGAGAAGGCGATCTATTTGTTTCTGATAAATAAAGATCCGCAGAAAGCAAAGGATATCGCACAAGGTGTGAATAAGAAAAGTGCCAAGGAGGTTAATCCTGATTTGTATCTAATGAAGGAAAAGCATTTTCTCACTCACAATGAACACTTAAACCTCTGGTCCGTGACGCACAACAATAACACAGGTCTGTCAGACTATTTCATATATGATAAAAATGATGTAATATGTGGAACTTATAAAAGTATTTCATACCGGTTTAATCACTAAAGTGTTTTCATTGTCTGTCTGTATCTGTGTGTGAATTTGTTTAATCCCATGGGAATGGGGCCTATGTAACAATGGGGAGACATAGCCCGTACCCCAACCGTTGGCATCGAGTAGGGGATACTTTACATTTTTAGGGGTGGACCTGTTGTCCCCTTCCCTGGAACCCATCCATGCCGGCAGGTGGGTGCCCTAATATTTATAAAGGGGGGGCCTATTTTCACCTCCGCCAGCTCCTACCCATGCCGGCGGCAGGGTGCTCTAATTAATTGTAAAATTGGGGGGGAGTAGGGGGGGGACAATGGTCACTTTCTCGAGGCTTGGCTGTCAGAGAAGTGTTATTGGTTGGTTTACTAGTCAACCAATCAGAGTGCTCTTGGTCATTTTGCAAAGCGTGGAAAATTTGCAGCCGTGTTAGAATGACACTGTTCGACTTTAATTCCTGGAGTCTAGCGGTTTGTTAATGGGATCAAACAAACACAAAATATACACACAAACAATACAAATTAAGCTCAACACTTATGTGGAGGATCCCCTTAACCTTCACAAACACCAATAGTTAAAGACAAAAAATATAAGTGGGGCTTTAAAATACCTGAAATACTTGAATAAATGGCAAATATACTCAATAATATGCCTTCACAATGACCTGTAAATAATATATAACATGTACATAGTGCAGATGGTATATACTATATATAAATGGTAAATCAGAGAAATATGAGTAAGGGTGGTAATTCACAACTCACAAGAATAGAGCCAATAGGTCACCTGGCTCTAGTGTGAAGCGCTCTGTGATCTTTATTAGGGGAGATCAACTACCCACTGAGCGTGTGTCCTCCTGGTTTCCTCCTCCTTTGTATGTAGCAAACAGACAGGAAGGTCCCAATTGTAGAAGGATCCAAAAATTTATTGATAAAACAAATTAACACTTGTAAATAAAAAATATATAATATAAATTGGGGCCAATACAAACCATTGTGTGGAAATCTATTCACAAACCGGACTTTACATAGGACACGAGGCCATGCGTTTAGACTGGAAGAAAGAAGATTTCGCCTAAGGCAAAGGAAAGGTTTTTTTACTGTAAGAACAATCAGGATGTGGAATTCTCTGCCTGAGGAAGTGGTTTTATCAGAGTCCATACAGATGTTCAAACGGCTACTAGATGCATACTTGCAAGAACAGAATATTCAAGGATATAATCTTTCAATGTAGGGTAATAACTGCTTGATCCAAGGATAAATCTGACTGCCATTCTGGGGTCAAGAAGGAATTTTTTTCCTAGCTTGTTGCAAAATTGTGCTTCAAACTGGGTTTTTTTGCCTTCTTTTGGATCAACAGCAAAAAACAAATGTGAGGAAGGCTGAACTTGATGGACGCAAGTCTCTTTTCAGCTATGTAACTATGTAACTATATAAGTCCACAATATATTGTGGATAAAGTCCAAAACGCGTTTCGCCAGTAACCTGGCTTCCTCAGTTGGTTAAAAGATTGTTCGATTTCTTTTTAATGTATTTATACCTTTCCTAATGGATTCCTTGCGTTCGCGTGACCGGAAGTGGTTGCTGTGGAACGCACGCTCCGTCTGATGGAACGCACGTTACTTCCGGTCTGGATGCTTGCGAAATGGGATCAGTCTGTGCTCTGTACTCCGGGGCTGGGGTGACGTTACGTCCTGGCTCCTGCCGTTAGTACAGGGGCGCGAAGAAGCTGTGCAGTGAGAATACATACAGATCACATCAGATCCCCTGCCGCCTGAGATGTTTCTCTATTAACTGCTGGTAAAGTTTAGGCACTGGCTATGTAAAAAGTGCCACCTGTAGGCAGGAACCAGCTATGACAGTAAAGGTGCACTCTTTGCACCCCCTGCTGCCTGTTAGACTGCCCCGGTAAGTACGCTACTGATAAGCACCATTAGCTATGTTGCCTTGAGTGACCCTTTAAATGGCAGATATTTTTGATAAAGAAAACATTGCCACCACTAATATAATCCGTGCCTTTATTCACAATCTAAACAGGAAAGCACGTGACATCTGAAAATACAAATAACACTACCTCCTCGCAGAACACGATGGCCCTGTCACCGGACAGTAAAAGTAAGTCGCCATTGTATAGGTCATATGACTGGATGCATCATTTAATTTGTGATATTATATAGTTATATATATATATATATATCTCAAAGTGTGTGTATGTGAATGTGTCTATTTTCATTGAAAATGTGGAAAATTTTGCAGGTAGAGAAAAAAAAAAGAAGAAAAATCTAAATGCACTTGAAAATAGATTAAACCATTTTTGACCGAGATCATTGAAAAAAAACAAAAAAGTAAGAAAACTAAAATCAAAAAGCAACAAAAAAGTTGAGTTACAAAAAAGTTGAGTTACAAAAAAGTTTGAGTTACAAAAAAAGTAAAAATGATAATTCGTTAAAAAATAATGTATTGTTTTTAAGGTCCATCGTGCTTTGCAGCACAGGCTGAACGCAGAACAGTGAATTCTAATTCTGAGCCATCCATCACACTAACACCAACACGTGAGTATCTCCTCACAGCCTCCATTTTGTTTTACCGGTACAGCCAAGTTCTGCAGGTTTGTAAAATGTTCCTTGATGATGGCATTGATCTATAAAACCAAGATGGAGATATCAGAATATACGAGTTAGCGTACCCTGACATTCTGGAACTGGTAAAATATATTTATGTTTAGAATAAATGAAAGACTGCCTTTTTTGTTTTCCTTGACTTTCCGTTAAGTGACTAATCGCTTTAGAGGTTTTTGCTGTTTACTACTAGACAATAAATTGAATATATGTTGCTACTTTACTTTATTAATACAGCTTTTAGTAGCTTGAAAGGAAAGGATACAGCATGCAAAGGCCTCGGGGAACCATTAGAGGCTTAAAGCTAAATTTACAGAGCAGGAGATAAAAACTTCTAAAGCAAGTTAACATCTGACTGAAAATTAATTTTTTTTTAATGCAGGCTGTTTTGAGTCACAGCCAGAGGGAGGTGTGGCTAGAGCTGTATAAACAAAGTGATATAACCAGTGGCGAACACACACACACACATACATACATAGACACACACACACACACATAGACACATACGGACAGATACATACATACACATACACACAGAAACACACACATACATATAAACAGACAGGCACACATATATACATACAGACACACACACACATACATACATAGACACACACACACACACACACACACATAGACACATACAGACAGATACACACAGAAACACACAGATACATACATACAGACCAACACACACCCAGACACAGACAGGCACACACACACACAAACACATACATACAAACAGACAGGCACACATACACACAGGCAGACACATACAGACAGATAGACACACACACACATACAGACAGACACACACACATACAGACAGGCATACATACATACAGACAGGCACACGTACAGACACATACATACACATACATACAGACAGACACACACACACAAGACGCACATACATTCATACAAACAGACAAACACACACACACATACATACAGGCAGACACACACACAGACATACAGGCAGACACACACACATACAGACACACATACACATACAGACACACACACATACATACATAGACAGACACACATACAGACACACAGACACAAATACATACAAAGACGTACATACAAACAGGCACACATACATATAGGCAGACACACACACACACACACACACACACACACAGGCAGATACACATACAGACACATACATACAGACAGGCACACAGACAGACACATACACACATACATACAAACACACACATACAAAATGTTTAAGTCACCCTCCTGTTTCCTACCTTTTAGGTACAGGAGGGTGTCTTTCCCTTGGGTCCAGTGGTGGCTCAGGTGGATGGGAGTCAAAGTTCCCACTCTGACACACTGGTCTTAATCCCATGCGGGCTCTGTCTGATTGCTGGGAGGAGTAACATGCGGTCACTTCCTCCCAGCTCTGTGTGAACTCATTACAGGGGGCCCGGTCGCGCTATTAAAGCGCCCAGCGCTGACCGGGCCCCTGACAATCCATATCCATTGAGTTGCCCTGACAGCATGGGCCACCCGATGGACCCCTTGGACGCCAGCACCGGCGGTTTGCCTCGCAGGCCGGGGCCACAAAAGAAGATGGTGGGTACATGGTCGCAGGGGTCCGCAGGGCGGCCGGGCCCCCTGGAGTGAGCTGCGACCGCGGTATGTACGCCAGTGGATATAACTCCTAAATGGCTGGGAATTAAGCAGTGAAACTGCAGTAGTATGATCTATACACTAAAACCACTTCACTAAGCTAAAGTTGTTTTGATGCCTATAACTTCTCTTTAAATAAAATAGGTCTGATAATCACAAATTACTCCCCTTTCTATATCTTAATTTTACTGTCTCCCATATTATTCCTAGATCTAAGTCAGCATTCTACAGATACCTCCCAACATTTCAAATGGACAAAGAGGGACCCTTTTATTTTAGGGGTGTGAGTGGGGTGTGGCCAGGGGTGAGACCGTTCTGAGTCGATGACTCAATTTTCTGAATTGTATGCTATTTATTTATTTTTTAAATTACAAAATATATATTTTTTAAATTTAGAAAAATGTGTCTTATTTCCAAGCACATTGATTGTAGATTAAATACACATTACTGGGAGTATTATTGCTGTGGAGCTCTGTTATACACTCAGACACATTACTGGGAGTATTATTGCTGTGGAGCTCTGTTATACACTCAGACACATTACTGGGAGTATTATTGCTGTGGAGCTCTGTTATACACTCAGACACATTACTGGGAGTATTATTGCAGTGGAGCTCTGTTATACACTCAGACACATTACTGGGAGTATTATTGCTGTGGAGCTCTGCTATACACTCAGACACATTACTGGGAGTATTATTGCTGTGGAGCTCTGTTATACACTCAGACACATTACTGGGAGTATTATTGCTGTGGAGCTCTGTTATACACTCAGACACGTTACTGGGAGTATTATTGCTGTGGAGCTCTGTTATACACTCAGACACACTAACAATATGGAGTTAAATGCTAGTAAAAAAAGCACAACACCGTTCACTGAGTAAAGTTTTATTGATGACGTACAAGTCTATACTGACAATATACTTCTGTTACAGAAAATGAAATCTACCAGTATATGAAGCACACTAACAAGCCACTAAAACCTATAGACATTGCACGTAACATCGGAAAAAGACGCTCATCAGAGGTTAATCCAGATTTGTATAAAATGGAGAAAGAGAATTTGCTCATTCATGACAAGGTGACCAAATGCTGGCAAATTAATTCAGAGCACAATGCAGGTTTGTAAAATGCTTTGACAATCCTCAAGTATATAAACAGATAGTAGTAGGAGATTGATTTAAAGGAACGGAGTCAGAAATCTAGATTTTTAATGTAAAATAAGCACTTTCATGTTATAGAAAATTTTCTCCATCCTTACCGTAATTTTCTTTTCCTGGTTATTATTCATGGCAGCATCACTTATGGGTTAGCTCTGCCCCCAACAGGAACAGAACAGGAAACATTTAACTAATCTGAACCAGCCTGTAGGCATAAAAGGTCCCTCCTTTCTCTATCCCACAGTCTAGTTTAAAATTGTAAAACAAACATATAGGAGGGATGCTGATGCTGCCGTGAATAAAAGCCAGGAAAAGAAAATTACAGTAAGTATGGAGAAAATGTTCTATATTCATGGCTAATCATGGCAGCATCACTTATGGATAATACCCAAGCTAAGACCAATGGGAGGGAGAAAAAAATGGATACTATTAGTCTGCTGCAACAATATTTTATTCACGAGAAGTAACAGAGGACTAAACACCTCTCCCAACGGAAGTAGATGAAGAAGCTACATCCAGCTTGTATGTTTGATAAATGTCATAGGAGAAGATCAGATGGCTGCCCTGCATATGTCATCAGATGAAACCTCTGTCCAAGGAGGTAGCCAGTGCTCTAGTCGAATGAGCCTTTATTTTCTCTGATGGAGATAGGAGGTGATAAGCATTCTTTATGGTGTTTGAGATCCAAGAGTGGTGCAGGCAGGGCCGGACTGGGGATTCCAAAGCAGCCCTGGAAAAAAAATCTATGCCAGCCCCATAAGTCATTGCGCCATATATTGTCGCATGTAATATGTAAGGCTATGTCTTGCAACCCTAGATGATTGAGATATATATATATAAAAACCAAACGGATCTTGCACTCCACCAATTCAATATTCAATGCCCGGTGCTTGTCAGCCAAAAATGCAAAAAATATTGCCAGAGATAGCACTCCAAGGACTAATATAAAATATAACTTTTATTACCTCTCCTGACGAAAGCTTGAGGGGATCAAGCTGAAACGTTGACCTTGTGTTGTTTTAGTGAAGGTAATAAAAGTTATATTTTATATTAGTCCTTGGAGTGCTATCTCTGGCAATATTATATATATATCTTTTTCCAATATAAAATATTGGTCCTTTCAGAGTAAAATTTTTAATTATACAGTAAGCATACTCACATGCAGACACAGACAATCTCACTGACACAAACTGATTGATGCACAGCCTCATACATAAGGTTATTGACATAAAAACACAAGCTCACTCAGTAGCAGGCACACACACACACACACACAAACACACAAGCAAGCGCGCGCACACACACACAGCTTAATGTAGTGGTATTGGTGTCTATAGCCTGTCCCTGCAGGCTTTTCAATGTAAACACTGACTTTTAAGAGAAAAGGCAGTGTTTACATTGCTTCCTAGTGACAGACACTCAGACGGTCACTAGAGGTGCTTCCTGTGTCAGTGCGGATTGGCTGAGATCATCAAGCTTGATGATCTCAGCCGTAGAGGCAGGACGAGGGGAGACCAGCATGACGTGGGAAAAAAAAAAGTGAGTAAAAACACACATACACACACACACACACACACATACCATGACACAGACAGACCGTGACACAGACAGAAACACACACACACCATGACAGACACACCATGACACAGACAGACACACACACCATGACAGACACACACCTTAAAAAAGACACACACACCTTGACACACACACACCATAACACAGACAGACCGTGACACACAGACACACACACCACGACACAGAGAGACCGTGACACAGACACACACACACCGTGACACAGACAGACACACATTACATGACACAGACAAACCCACACACACACCATGACACACACAGACCGTGACACAGACAGACACACACACCATGACACAGACAGACTGTGACACACAGACCACGACACAGAGAGACCGTGACACAGACACACACACACCGTGACAGACAGACACACATTGCATGACACAGACAGTGACACACACACCATGACACAGAGACACACACAATGACACAGACACACACACACACCATGACAGACAGTGACACACACACCAGGACACAGAGACACAAACAATGACACAGACACACATTGCTGACACAGACAGACACTCACACACCATGACACAGACACACACACACACACTCCATGACAGACAGACACACACACAAATGAAACACACACACATACACAATTTCTACCTGTGGGGACTGGCGGCTGGCGGCCTCAGAGGGAGCTCCTTTGGCGGCCGCAGGGTTTGCTGGCTGTTCTTGCGGCCGCAGGGGGATCTGGCTGTTCTGTCTCTGCTCCCCCTCCCCAGCGCGCCGCTTAATGAGACCGGGGCCGGGAAATTTCCCGGTATCCCGGTGGGCCAGTCCGGCCCTGGGTGCAGGGTTTTTGTAGAGATGGGGCAGGAGGTTTTGTGAATGGGGGTGCAGGAGGTTTGTAGAGGGGTGCAGTTTTTTTTATTTTAATTTTTTTTTTAGAGAGGGGTGCAGGGTTTTTGTAAATGGGGCAGGGGGTTTCTAAAAGGGGGCCTGGACAGGGGTTTGGTAGATGAGGGGGTTGTAGAAGACAGACTGTGCAGGGGTTTTTGTAGAGGGGGCAGGGGTTTGTAGAAAGTGGGTTCTGTAAAAGGGGGACTGGGCAAGGGGTTTTGTAGAGGAGGTGCATGGTTTTTGTAGAGGAGAGCAGGGGATTTGTAAAAGGGAGACTGGGCAGGGGTTTTTGTAGAGGAGGTGGTGCAGGGTTTATGTAGAAAGGGGGTTTTGTAGAAGGTGGACTTGGTGGGGGTGTCAAACACAGGATCTGCCCAGGGTGCCAAATGCTCTAGGTATGCCCCTGCCTATAGTGTCCCTTTAAATCCTCTTTGGTTAGCTGCTTATCTAACCATAGCCCATTCAGATGACCTGTGTTATTGCCGGTATCTCAAACGGCCAAAAAGCTGGGTTTGGCCATTCAAGTTGTGTATAGTTTTAGGAGATCCATGGTGCCTCTGACTAATGAGGATTTAAAATTGTAAGCTAGGAAATATGGAAATATACATACACACACACACACACACAATGCATTACAATAATACACACAGAGCCTATACATATTTATTTATATATATATAATAATGTACATAGAGTCTTTAATATTTAAGGATAATGACAGATTTCCTTTGAGTGAAATTTGGAAATCCTTCGAACACAGGAGGTTCAGAATGTGCCCACAAAAAAATCCCAGTGTATGCTTTGAGATGCTGTGATTAGCACATCCCCTCACTACCCATCCACACCAAGATGGGCTGAGAGGGAAGGGAATACAAAGCACGGGATCTTTAGCAAGGCAACAGAATATTCCGATGTTCGAAGATGATCATGATAATTCCGGTTCTCCTCTGGACCAGAATACGTATAAGAGAAAGAAGAATTCTGTGTCTTTTAGAACAATGAGGTTTGTGGCTGTTACGGAGTAATCACATGTCAGCGTGACATATATAAAATTACAACCTTTTTTATTGATTGCGTATTTATCTTTTGTATTTAGAAACAAATGTGCCATCAGAGAATCAGCAGGCAAATAGCCAAAAGACATTTGAATTTTCTTATCAAGAAAACGCCACACAACCATGTGAGTAAAATTGTATGTATGATGATCATTCGAAGGTTGGGTTGGTCTTCTACTGGTCCTAACAAAAGCGGGCAGTTTAATAATTTGGTTTAATGTCCCACTGGCCCCCAATAAAAGTATTTTCTAATACATTATTGCCATATATTAGTCCTTCTTTCCTATGACCATGCTATACATAGATTTTCAAAATCGTCACAACAAAGGATCACTTGAGATTAGAGTTGACACCATCTTTTTAATGTCTTGTGGAGATGATGCACTAAAAATATATGTAGAAAAAAAATCAAAATGTAAAGAATGAAAATCATACTTCACTTTTCAAAGGCTGATAAAATTACACAGCTACTTTTGGGACAAGGATCGGCTGATTTTCCTCTGCCAATTCCTAGTCTGCCTCTTGTTTTCATTGGGAGCACTGTAGGTTTTTTATAAACTCCTTCTAAGCAGGGTTTATGGGATATATCATTTAACAGCTCCTAGTAGTTTAAATTGTGAAGTTTTCCCCGGTTTAGATATTCACTTTGGAGGCATATCTTCAGATTGACCCTTGGCAGCAGACTTTATTTAATTACTCATGGATTCTCTCCTTCCAAATTGTCACACAACACTTATGACTTTTATTATATACATTACAGTTAAAGCTAGGGACATTTCATTAGGCCGTAGTGGTTATGGTACTTGGTGTCCCTTCCATAACCAAATTTCGAAATGTAAGCCAAATTGGATATTTGTTAACTAGCCCACATTTCCCAATCCCGCAGTCATTCAATTTGAATTAACCCGAGCAGAGAATCCTGCTCCGTAATGCTGACTTGCTAACTAGGAAGTAACCATAGCAACTACCGTTCATGTGCTGTATTTGCCATGTCAGAGAACAGGGGAACTACTGGTAGGAGGGGGTGTAACAGACCGTTTTGCCCACAAGAGGTTAAAAACCGTTTAGGCGATATTCCCCTTTTTCAGCTGCACAGACAGCTACTGCAAGCACCAATCACCCAAACTGCAAACCCACGAATTCACCAACTCCTGAACTGCAACCAAGGGAATACTCGAAACTCCTGAACTGCATACCAAGTAGCACTCCAAACCCCTGAACTGGAGACACACGAATAGCTGTTAGCAGACGAACAGGAAAAGCCCCCAAGTGGCTTACACTCCTGGCAATCAGTCTCTAACAGCATACAGTAAATCCTCCCCCAATAATGAGACGACACTTCACTTTGAGGGTTAAGCAGGAACTGATTTACTGGGGCTAACTGCCCGGCTTTTATGCAGGTCTCCCACCTGGTGGACACTCCCCTAGGGGACCAAATGGGAGACTGGGACACAAAGGGTAAAAGGACCAATCACAGACTTACACATTTCAACCATCCCACAATGCATCACAATCCCTCCTCTCTGCCCTGGAGATAATTGGGAAGTAATTCAATTATCTCCAAAGACAGAGGCAAAACTCCATTAACCACATGGCAGAAAACAAACAGTAAAAGACATAAAATTACCTACAGTTACATTCAGTACATAAAACATATACGTTCTACATATCCCCAGATAGCTCAGATCTGAGCGCACATTATTACCGAATGGCGCTCAGATCACATACATACAGTTCAATTGCCATGGAGCCAAAGTCCTCTTGTTACATGAACAGGCTCCATGGCTTAGCTATCTGGGTGATGCTGTTCATCCAGTTAAACTACCGAATGAACAGTCATTCGGTTCCGCTCTCGAATGGGAAGGGAAGGAGGCTGGCGGCTCAGCGGTGTTCGCGCAATTAAGTGTCCGTTTTCAGTTCCATAGTTTAGGCGCTGAACACCGCTGGCCGTTCGGGAGGTAAAATGGCTGCTGCCACGTGTTCGGCAACCGAACAAAAGCCTCCCAGCGTTCATCAATGAAGCTGCGGTTAACTGCAGCTTCTGGGCGGTCAATTGACGGCACACTCCAGTTCCCAGGTGGTCCATCGTTTGGTAGTTTGTTCGGTAGATTGAGTCTAAAGGGAGCAGGCGAGCAACCAGGCTTCTCCAGTGTACAGTGGCGAGGTTGGTTTCGTCACAGGGGGATCCTGCTCCTCCTGTCAATCGATTGCTGGAAGAGAGATCTATGGCAACTTTATGCTGAAAATGTGATCAATGGGTGTGGCAGAGGCCATTAATAAGTTTTAATTTCAAACTATACATTTGCTAGCACAATCTATTATGGAATTTTTATTTTAAATGAGGCAAATTTACGTGGACAAAGCAGAGAAGGATTATCCATAAGGCTACTCAGCCTTCTAGGGTCCAGGAGCCCTTGAACCATTTCTATGTGAAAAATGAAGCAGGGGGGGGAGCAAACTGGTAACATGCTTAGGGGTCCTTGGGTCCTTGGATAGTCCTCCTCAGATACGATGACAGATACATTTTAAATTGTGTTCCAAAATAATTTTTCGTTTTACTAGTTCCATGAATGGATCTTGTTTTTTATTTTCAGGTTGTGCTGTCAATAGTGTTCCAACAGAACCGAAAACAGTCAATTATTACTTTATGAACCCAGGGCAAATCCAAATAGGACATAACAACTGTATAAATATGTACATAAGTAAAGAAACAGAAGAAATACCTGTGGTTTCAGAGGGTAAGTTAACTTACGGGCATGGTTTCCATACTTTGTCCCAGTGTCCTATGTAAAGACCACGGTCATTTTCATATTGACGATTCTGCTAATATACGATTGGGGCAATCAGGAGATGGGTGAGGGCCAATAGCCCATACTGCTACTGGGACTTTCGTACTGTGGTTTCATGCTAGACGTAGAGGCATAATAATGGGTGGGACTTTTCCAGTTGATATACCAACCCAGTCAACATGTGGGAGAGAGGTACCCTACTGTCGGTCCCATAAAAATATCATAGACAAATGTGTCCCACACGTTGAAGCAGAGTCAAGCTAAGAAGGAAATGTAGACCAGGTGGCTATTCTCACCTGCCAAAATAAGGCCAAGTCATCAACAAACAACGGGTGTTATAATCCCCAAAACAAACCCATGAATATATAGTTTAAATACATTCCCAAATCAGCTAAATCCAAAAGTATGACCTCCATGTCTTAAAACTGACAAGGCACTCATGCACTTGATCTGTCTCAATAGAGCTTTGGTCTCCCGTCTTGTTCCACAAGCTGTGGCTGAACTCCACTTTTAATAAACTTCTGCCACCCTATAGTTCAACCGATGAAGTTCATCAGTTGGAGATGTACCCTTGGACTACTCCTGTGATTTATGCAACGTGGCTATTTGCTGTAAATTTTTACATGGTCTGCTCTCACTTGGAGATAGTACACCAATCTTTTGTTTTGTGATTGTCAGATGTGGATTCTGGTGCTGGGAATGCCTTTGAAGTCGGTGACAGTCAATACAATTCTCAGAGTCAGGACGGTTTGAATTTCACTATGGATCTTCCGGATGGCAGTCTTCTCAACTGTACTGGGTCACAAGACATGAAAATAGTCAGCGATGCCGACAGTGGACTATGTAAGAAACTGGATGAGAGTCAGTGAGGGTGTGATATGGTCACTTACCACCAGAAATCTGAGATCGCTAGAACTTATAATCTATTCTAACATTCTGAACAGTGGTGGGAGAGGGGGGGAAAAATTATAATTACACCTATAGTTATAGCTCAACGTATACCTTTTTTTTTTTCAAGCATTTTTTTAGGAATGGGGTATTTGCCATGGATCTTCCAGCACCATAACATCATTCTTATGAAGTTATGGTGCCCAGGGTCCCTTTCAGAATAAATATTTGTGTTTAATCGACTCCCGAGGCACAAACTTTGATAAAAGTAGTTTCCACTTATCTGTCCTGCACAGCTTATATCTCAGTCCAAATGTTGCTAGTTAGCTGCAAACTTATCCCAATTAAATAATTAATCAGGGATAGGGTTTCTGCTCAGGAAAACCTTGTAAATTTTCCAGGAGGTTTAGAGATCACCTACTCAGCTGGGAGGTTATTCCTTGCACCAAATACCATTTTATAAATCCGGTAAATGCTTTGTGAACAGACTATTTGCCAGATTTAGATTATTAAAAGGAACACTCACCGCACCATAACCACTACAGCAAGCAAGTCTCTCCACTCCCTCCTCCATTCTTTTGTTTATTTAATGATTTGACTTACCTGAGTCTGCCACAAATGGCTCCACAACTCAACTACTGCTAAGAGAGGTGGAAGCTGTTAAAGAGGAAATTCTGTGAGCTCTGGGGCCAAGCCCAGCCCTCTCGCACATGGTAGTGGTTATGGTGAGGTTCTTTTAAACAAGTCTTAAACAGAGTGATTTCCAGATAACTTTGCTAATAGAGCAAATGATCACAGGTTGATAAAAATACAAAAAATAAATAAAACTAAACACACACCATGGTGCCTTACGGGATTTTTCTGTTTTCTGTTACTAGGTTGTGGAGAGGATACAAATTCTAACGAAGCCTCTGCTTACTTTGAAGAGATCCACAGCGCAGTCCAAAATGAGTTGAGCCGGTACCCTGAACCAATATCGAAGTCAAAGAAGAACATCCTAATATTTAGTGATACAGGTATTAAAATGGTTCATTCCTTAAAAGGAATTCTCCAAGCTGACATACACTGTAGTGGTTATTGTGCCAAGAGTGTTTTAGTGCCATGGCAGACTATTTTAGCAACCTACCTGGATCCCAATGGGCACCAGTTCGGCACCTGGGCTCCTCCAGCAGGTGAACGGAACAGGCCCATGCAGGACTGCTCACTGGCCATCAGTTGACAGTATCAGCCATGGAGTGTGTTCCAGTTGTGGTTTGCACTACAGAGACTCCTTCTCCCCTCGACTGGACCTATGCAAGTTCTCGAAGTACTGTTAAATTGGTTTAATGTCTCACTGTGCTACTGGCACCATAACCACTACATGGTGCTACGAATGTTCCTTCAATAACTATATTGTACACTTTAAATAGGATTATTCAAATTCTAATTGCAGCACAATAAATCACAGAAGAAATCAAAGATTTATACATTAAAATAGTGAAGGGTTGTGAAATGAAAACCTATCCACAAAGATTAGATTAAACATGCTAAACGGACTACATATGATTTAGAGACTATTCAAGCCTGTGGGATTTTTTTTTTATTTTAAGCTTAAATTGACTTTAGTAAATAAACCTGTGTATTTTAAATTCTGTGATATAGAACACTGACACATATTTATAGTACAAAGTAGGAGATTAATGTATTTGTCTTCTAGATCTTGGCGAGACACCAGCACCACAAACCTCATCCCCAATCAGAAATGAAGGTCCTTTGAAGGACTTTAATATTTCTGACATCATTGACGGCTTCCAGATCTTGGACGTGAAGAAAAATGGTGAAACGCTAGAGGATAGTTCCGAAGGAGAAAATATTTCAGCCAGTGTCAGAATTACAGGACTCTAGAGACATATCGTTCAACCAAACGTGGATGTGAAAACTGTTCCACCTGTGGCAAAATGACTGACTCCAGATTTGAATCTTCTTACTAGAGGACCTTCCATAGATGGACATAAAGGCACAGAAAACCTAACAGGTTTTGGATTTCTCCAAATCAAAACCAAATGAAAACAGAAGAAGGTCCTCTCCATTGTAACATTCCCTCTCAAAAGTTCCTTATGTGATACAATTTTATTTTCATTAATTTACTGTATGTGGATAATACTTGGAAAAACAACAAGTTACCTCAACCAACAAGGATCCATGCAACAGATTTTCATAAACCGTCCTTTCAAGTAATCCAATACTGGGTAAATTGTTGTGGGTAAAGCCATGCCCAGGCTGGAAGTCCATTTCAGGGATACTTTACCAATACCAGTGTGGCTCTCAACTTTTGTTTCCTTGGAGTTACTATCATTGGTTTAATTTGGGACATACTGTGAACTAGTCAGAACCAACAGAAGTCATCTTGGTTAAATGAACTTCTTGAGAATGAAGAATTTTTTATTTATTTTTTTATCAGAAATTCTGTGGTTCCTTAACAGGTACTGTAAAATATGGCGTAAAACCACGAATAAAGTTTTATATAATATAAGTTTTTTTTTTTTTTTAAAACAAATCTTTCATGCACAGTTATTAGAATATCTGCAATATACGTTCTTCCCTTTATTGATAGCTGAAGTTATGGTTGGTTTTTAAACAGGACATTTGATCTTAAGTAGGTAAAGCCCAACATGTCGGGGACAGTGCCCCCATCTTTAAGTTTCACCACTTGCCACTGGAATGTAATAATTGGAGCCCCTAAATCTCACAGGGCTAACAGTAGGGCTGTATAGATCTGGCAATAAGAAATCTAAATGTTTAGTCCTACCAATGAGATCTTTTCATCAAAAGGCAGATGCTAACCCAGAGTGTCCTTGGATTTGTTAACACAATTGGCGGGCTTATTTAGAAAGTATGTAACGTGGAGCAGGGTTAAATGGCCCCATTTACAGATTCCTTTACACATCTAAACTAGAAAATTTCAAGTTTAAGGATAAAACCGGAATCTGGTCTAGAATTAAGCTGTGTCCCCTAGTCTTGTTTAATGTTTCTTAAAGGTCACATTGATGAATGAGCACATACATTAACTTACGAGATAAAATGTAACGAATTGTTGCCTTTATTTTTACAGATTGTGACAAACAAAATACACATTTTAAATCCAAGAATTTTTCGTAAGGCTAGAAGTAAGAATGCAAAAAAAAGGAAAAAAAAAAAAAAAAGTGTTAGAAGCCCATTACTTAACCGTAGGAAAAGAGTAAAATAAAATAGAATGCACAAATATACATGGTGCAGAAAAGGCTTATTGGGAGGGTAGGACACAACAGGAAAGAACAGGATACCAAGAAAAATCCCCAAATAGTGCCACAATGTGTAAGCAGCCTTCAAAATCTGCTTCATGTGATATCAGTCTAGTCTTAATATTCTTGCATAGTTTTCACACAATTATATTATATTAAAATATTAAAGTTATTATATTTATATAGTGTTATACAGTGTTATCTCTTTAAAATGTAGAAGAAGTGCCAATTCAAACGCCGAGCCTTTCCTGTGATCTTGGGATCGTTGATACGATGCAGATTGATGGGCAACATTTAAAAAAACACATCTGCAAATAATGATGAAGTCAAAGTCTTTGGGGGCAACTAAAATTGAGAACTGCATTTTACTCGCATGAGCCTTGTCAACAAACTCGATCAACACTCAAATGGAACATACAATATAAATATAAAAAGCTCTTTTTGAGCCACCTTTTGTCTAAGTTCATAATGTTGCATTATCCATCTGGATAACAGTCATACATGGTACAGCAGGCTCTCTTTTATGGGATGTAGCCTGACCCAACGCATTTAAACTTCTAGGATACAGAGGTGCTACGTGCTTTCAATCCACTGGTCGGCAACTCAATACGTTGACTTTGGTCTAAAACATCCAATACATATTCTTCACATTTTGTACAGATGTCCATGCAAGTCCAGTTTATCATAGAATTTTTGTGGGATGGAACCTCTTCCGATAGATATTTGGGTTCAAACACCAGTGGAATGCTAGGAAAAAAGGTGGTGTAGAATGAGTAGAAGTTTAGCATGAGACAAAATTGGAAGAATATTTTTGGATATACATTTACCAGCGAGTTTCCTGTAGTTAAATAGTTATTCCCAGAGAGCGGAGATTTGGAACTGAGACATTTTCACATTGTTCCACAGCAAAACAATTGGCCAATTTATTCACAAAGTGAATTTCCATTTCAAGGTAAAACTAGGCAAAGTTGAAACATTCTCCAAGTCAGAAACTTTGCCCGTAAGTTTGAAATTCACTTTGAATTTGCGCTTTAGTTAAATAAATTTGACAGTATTGTGCTTGTGAATACCATCCAAACATTCCATATTGATAGAAAATAAACACACTGGGCAGGAGAGCAGGTCAAGGATATTTGGAATCCAAGTAGACTCCTTCCCTACCAAGGGACACTTGAAAGAAAACCAGGACTATTTTAATCTGGAGGATTTGAGACATTTATACATCAATAATTAACACAACTAAATGTTATATTTGTGGCTAAACCTGCATCGTTTCTGGTCCTTTATAGTGCTCATAATATTAATACAAATACCGGTTTTACACACAGCTCACGCTTACAATCATACAAGGAACAAATTGGCCTTTTAAAAAGCCACAATGAAAAAAATATATATATATCTTACGTTGAAGTGTCCCAGTTTAGTGTTGCTCTATAGAAAATAGTGCTTTTGTAATCCTTGCAAGCTGTGTCCACCAACTGAGTCAGAACCAGTGGTTTGAAGAAGCTTATTGGTATATGCATGCATTGTTTAAAGGGCATCGACATCTGAAAAGGACAAAAATAATTAAAGTCCTGTCTGGAATGTGAGCAAAAGAACAAGAGACAAGACACACAAACTAAATTTACCTCGATACTGCATTCATGGCAGCTTACCCTGTAAAGAGAATGTTTAAACATTACATAGACACCAAACAAGATATGTACAAGAGAGTTTTGCCACCATGACAACAGATCAGTCCCAAAAGTCTAACTTTGGGTTGCATTCTGTGGACATCACTCTAATAACACTAAGAGCTCTGCGCATGGAACTTTGGGGACATGAGATCCAACTCCAGATTGTTAGTCACGGCCTCTGATACTTTGTTATATTAAAAACTGGCTGAGCGCTATCGCACCTGAAGGCCTAAGATGGTCTACTGAGCATCAATGAAAAGTTCAGAGATGGGACTTCTAAGGATGGTGAGATTGGCCATTATTGTTCTTCTAGGACCTTTGAGTTTAGTATATTTTACACCAAACACATCAGAATTCTTACCTCTCACACATTTTGCAGGTGTATGGCCATGAGAAGAAGAACCTCTTTTTGTTACAGGTGGAACACACCTAAAAATGAAATGTATACATAAACACTGGTCTCTGGATTCCATTTCAGACATGGCGGCCAGTGAATTTTTATCAACTGATCATTTGCTTCATAGTTTTTAGTGATGCTTACCCGGTATCCAGAGCAGCCGTTTCTCTCCATAAAATCCGCTTTCATGGCTGCTTGGCGAGCAAGGACCAACTCTTCAATGGTTTGTGGGAGAATCCTTTGGTAATAGCAACTCTGAGGGGGTGAGAGACAACATACAGCTTTCCATTAGCGGAATTGGGGGTGGGGTGATAGTTTCAAAAAAGCCAGAATGAATGTAAGTCAAATCTACAGTACTGTATAAATAAAACTATGTGACTAATACATAGCATGAAGCACTGAGCCAGCCATTTTGAATCAGCAGAGAGGCATGATGGCAGTTCGACAGGGATTCTATTGCTGTGGTCAGTTTAAATAGAGTTAATTGGCCAAAAGTTTAATAGCTTGCCATATGGTTCATTCCGTCTCAGAATATTTTGAAAAGAGAAACCTATATCATGTATCAGTCTACTTTCACCTATATGACCGCTCAGAACTAGCCTCCTCCACCCCATACACAACCACAGGTGTTGTATAGACATAAATATATGGATTTAAGTCGGTGCTTGTGAAGTAAGCAGCTCATCTCCAAATTCATCTTTTAGACTTTGCAATTCTCATTAAGCATTTGGAGTCTGCAAAGATTGTTATTAACATGGACTTCAGGTGGGCACTTTGGAGATGGTCGGAAAGGATTGTCTAGTTCCTACAGAAATGAGTGCTGAAAGAATCTCTGTGGAAATCCTAGAAAAACCTTTGAATATCTGCTGGCGGGGATACCTGCGCCAAGCGGTTTAAGAAGAGATATAGAAAATGAAAGTTTTGCTAACGTGTACAGATAAACCTTCATCGACCATTCACTTGCATTACCTTACTTCTCTGTAAAGATCCCGTTTTCTGTGAGGAACCGTCATACGAACTAGAGCGTTTGTGAAGAAAGGATTTGGCCTTCTGGTTGACGAAACTGTTTATTTTTAGGTCGACTTGAGAAGAGGTCAACACTGGGAAGAATGTCAAGTCTACAAGACAGAAAAAATAATTTACAGATAGCAAGATCAGCAATCAATTAGATACATATCAGAGTGTGTCAGCAGGTCAGGGTTCTAAGTTAGAACCTTGTGCAGAAAGTCTGGAACCTCAGCACATCTTACAGACTACGCAGTATGACAGTTGAGGTTTTTCTTATCCCCAACTCCAGTTGGCCACTAACAAACCACCCCAAGCACCACCTACTACAGCTTATTTATAGTTGTTATGGTGTTTGACAAAAACTTTACAAAACTACATGTACAGCCTACAAAAAGCATGAGGAGTTTGATAGAGTTTCAATTATTTTTCAGCGATTTAAGTTTTCATGCTTAGCTGGACACATCTGATCTCACAATGGGAGCCGGTTGACAACTCAATGCAAGGTGTGCTAATGGCATACAAAGAGTTGCATGGATAACGAGAAAGTTGAATGTCTTCAAAGACACATCTGACAAAAGGATTCTCTTAAACACCAAGTCCATCCATCTGCCAATTTGATTTACAAAAAAACAAAAACAAAGTACTCTACTAGGTTTGCTGCGTGATCTTGTGGCACCAGAGAGGATTGGTGGTAGAAAAAAAAAAAAAATTAAAATCAATGGTTATGGGACAGTCACTAAATGTTGATTGTATTCAGAGATCAAGTGAGAGGTGACCATTAGAGGGGGAAAAGAGGAGGAGCACAAAAACAACATTTATATGTCATCTCCTCACAGATCCATAGGTATGCCCCTTCTT